GATGGCAGGAAAACGGACGCAGCCGGCACATTTCGGAGAGTGAGTTCAAGATGTCCGTAGGCGAGTTTCAAGAGAAGGAGACAGTAAGAGACCAAAAAAAGTTAGATTGATCTCACTGCTTAAATGCATTATTCCTACGATGTATTTGAACAATAGGATCCTTCCCATAGATCGCACAGGAGTGTCTGCAGTAGGCAGCAGCTTCACCATTCTCTGTTCATTTTCCTTTTTAGATTTGGGTTTTCATAGGTTGCATCACCGTCTCTAGATAATCGGAATTCTTATGAACGGCTACATCGGCATATCTTTTTCGGGAAGTTCTGCATTTTCAAGGTAGGTGTTCTGTGACCACCGTACCCACTCTACCACCGGATACAGTACCCCATCACGCTTCATTGCAGAAGATGTGTGTAGCATTGTACCCATTGTAGCGAATGAATCTCCCCTCGAATTACTCGGAATTTTTTACCTCGTTGCATCAAATGTACCGTCTTCTCTATGGGTGGCGGAAATCCCCGTCAAATTCTTTGGAAATGATTAGTTGACCTGAAACTGGCAGCGAAGCTCTCAGGCGAAAATACGCCTTACCGAAGGCCAGTGCGTACCAGCTCGATCAAGTTCCCATAACTTAGTTTGGCAATGACGTTCACCGTTGTTTAGTTCTTTCGCCCATCTGACTACAAAATCCGTCTCTTCCATATAGGGTTAAACAGGGTTGAAATGCTACTCATGTGAAGCTCCCTAAAGAGGAGGAATAAAAATCGTCTTCATCCTAGTGCTTCCTCTTAGAATGAAAACTGTTGTGCCATTTTACGCGACGGATGCTTTGCTTTGCGAACGGAAACATCCGTCTTGTCTTTGTCAAACCTCTGATTGTGTCTGACTGCTTTTAACGGCCGGCATCCTCGTCTTCTAGTTGCTAAAATATCTGCCTTGACTCAGATTATTTTTAAGGATCAGGGTCTAGCCGCAGCCTTCCGTCTCTCCCAACCCAAGAAGCAGACGTTGTCATAATCTCCAATACAATTTCAGCCCCCTCGTCCTTACTGGCATTACTGATGTCAGAGGCGGTTGCTCTTTTACAACAAACATACCTTCTGCTTAGATCTAACTTGCGCTGAGGTAAATGATGATCAAAGACAGTTTACAAGTTTGATTTAAAGTTTTGAGATCTTGTATACCCTCCTCCTACGACTCATATTCTCACAAGTGTCATCGGTAATCGTGAGGGGAACTACCAGAGTCCTTCCCACCAGGCAAAGACCTACTACCATACTCCATGGATGAGCACATTATAAAGCTACTTCCATCCGGTCGGATAGTCGAAAATTACAACCGTGTGGGCATAATACCGTCCAAGTCAAGACTGAAGTTGGTTCGTTCCGGCTTGCCTCTGATTCTGCACCTTTCCAGTGCTGGCGTCTTTCTTCTCAGGCAGTGGCTCCAATCCTAGATATGAAAAGATACTTTTAGACTTCTCAAAAGAAAAACTTGATTTGAGCTTCTACGCGGAAAATTTCTGAACGGCCGTATCGCATCAACATCAACTTGTGATTATGGCCAAGTAATTTTGTCAAAGAAAGTCTTTGGCAGGCTTCTTTTACTAGGATCACTAAACTCACTTCACTAAACTGCTGTTGTGGTGACCGCAGTGTCGCCACCACAACAGCAGCTCTCCCATATCCACCTAGACTAAAAAGGTTCTTTTTCATTTTGAAACCCACAAAGTGGGTGCTTGGTTGCTCATCTCTCCGTTCTATTTTTGATACAAGAACCGATTTCCTTAGAACGAGGGAGGGGCAAATGAAGCACAAATGCAAGAAGCTTGAAGCCAATACCTAACTGCGAACTAGTCAACAGTACCTATATAGAACAATAAGGATCACTTCCCCTCAAGTAACTTTGCAACACCCCCGTGTCGCCTTCTTATAGAGTAGTGTTGACAACAACCCGACTACCAAGCCGCCAGCTTGGTGCTCCTGTTGCAGCGACTTGTCGTCGCTGGACCATCGCCTTCCTCACCTACCAGTTGACCCCCTTCTTCAACAGCGACAGGACTGTAAACATAGATGCATTCTCGATCTCGCTCTCGGTGAATAGTCCTGCTTCTTTAACAGTACGCTACGGTACGCTTTCTCCCAGTCACCGAACCAACAACCTATTCATCTCGCCATCACGCCATCATGAACCACCAACTTTACGTTCCTCAAACCCCAGAGGCAGCATGCTGATACTACCTACGTAATTGAAAGAAAATCCTCCGACGGATAGACTGACCTCTTCAAAAAATCTGGGTACGATCTAGTGGTCTTCATTATGCCAATCATTTCAAGTGAGAACACAACTTCAAAGAACCACAACACTTTATAATCATCAATGTAATTAAATTTCGAAGGGAAGTAAAACAATCACACAGAAACACCACGTCAATAAATTATCCACAAGCGAAATCACTATTACATTATTCACTCGGAATTTAGCGCAACCTTTCACAAACCCCGTGGTGAAGGAAGAGAATGCAGAGTACAGTTTTAAAAAATAGTGAAAGGATCTAAGGCCTAGAATCAATAAAAGACAGACACTTAAGATATGAAGCCGCTCGAGAGGAATTGGGTGACGATACTTTTCCCCGATTTCCTACGGCAAACGGCAGTGGTTCTGCGGCGGCTATCCTACCATGTGGACTCGACCCTTTCCCTTCACAGCCCGCCATCGGCTGCGGCGAGCACGACGCGACTTTCGGGAAGGAGATACTAAACCGAGAGAGGGTGATTTATCGCTTTTTCAGAACTACGATGCCTCTCGATTGGCCTGCACTGCTGTTGCGCTACTTATCACATGTTGTAAAGAAAAGACCAACTAGACAATAAATTATCACGGAAATAAACTTTAACATTAAGTTACAATATGCAGAAAAACATGTTCAATTTGATAATCTGCTCCTGCTCTGGAGGCATGAAGTGCCTCCAGACCGTTCATAGAATTGGCTTGATATTAGTTTGTCTTCTTTTTGCCCTTTTTCAGATTGCCATCCGATTCATCAACTTGCTCAGGTTCCTGTACACAAAAAAGTGGGTTCAATAGTCTGACAACATTAAATAACCCAGATAGCAGCTTGAAACAAGTTCAATCACTTACAGAGACAGAATCATCTGCCTTCACTTTCTTAGTCTTTGGCGGCGGAACGAGGCGTTTAGTTTCAGTTTTAGATTTTCGACTGGCGCTTTCCCTGAAATCAAATAAATTACCTTTAAAGCTAATACTATAATCGAATAAAACGAAATTGGAGTGTTACAAACTCTCAACGTAGCATAAGAAAACTGCCTTTCTTGGAAGAATACTCTTATAAGGCGGCACGTTTACAACATGAATGTAGTTTCTCTGCTACTTAACCTTCTCCAAAAAATGAACGATGAACGAGAAAATAAAAAAGCGCAACATGAGTAGAACAGGGAACTCGAGTGGAAATGATATGGCATGAATATTCGAAGCACTATCAAGGTTACTTGAACAAAACTTACTTGAATCGTCCAACGTGGAAGCTTGTGAAGTTCCATAATTGGATCAACTGCAGTGATAGAACAACGAGAAGGCAATTCAAACTGGAACGGAGCAATTCTAATATGCTTCTAGCACCAGCAGGTAAAGACCGCAAGCGTTTCACAACTAACCGAACATAGGCGGTGTTGTAGTTGCCACTTGCTACATCTATGTATGCTGATTCAGATTGACGTAGACCATACCAGAATGTCATAACTGTTAGTACAGAGGAGGCTAAGCGGACGATGAGGAAAACGACATTCCACAGCGTAAACCTTGAACAAGTACATCCTTATATTATTAATTTACATTATTTCGATAAAATGCCTTGCCAAAATGGCAGATGATTTCCTTAGATATTTTGAATCCCAGAGTTTAATACTGAGATGCACCTGATTACTACCTCATTGTTAGCTTTGATTCCTTATCGTAAATTCCTACATTCAATGATTGCATCAGCTGAATGGAAATGGTAAACATTTCAGCCTCTCACATCACTCGCAAATGGAAGCTAAGGGAAATCCGTCAACACTAATGAAGAGCTCAATTCATTTCTCGAATAAAGGTGCAGGTTTCTCACTTTCAAAACAATAAAAGCAATAAAAGCCACAATCTATGAGCAAGTGCGAACAGCGCGATAATAAAAACCACTTGAACTTTCTCGGAGCAGCTACTTAGATATTAAAGAGGAAATCTATGCGGAATTTTTTGCAAAAAGCGTGAGTGAGTAATTCTCAGGAAAACCGTGCGAAACCTTCTTCGGAAAAATTACTGAACGGCAAACGGATAGGCGTTCATGATTTTAGAAAAAGGTGGGAGAGGATTTTGCGCTTACAGAGAAATTGAAGTTCATGAACCTAATGGAAAAACTGTGAACATGTTGACAAGAGAAGCAATAGTACGAATGTCACATTGCGAAGCCCGATGAGCTACTTCACATTAGTATTGTATAAACAGCTGGGCTGTGCAACTAACGCGCGCATCACCGCGGAAAAAAAAACGCCACAAAGAGAATTTATGAATTTCATGATCTCAGGTCAATCCCCCGAAAATCTGGCCTGCAGGCTGTGATGAAATCGAGTTAAATTGAATAGATAAGTTACAAGTTTGTGCAGAAGCACGGCACGGTATTTCTCTTAGTGTCTGGCCCTTCTGAATCAGGAAGTCTTGCCCTTTGCACCGTCCATTCCTAAGCGAGTTCCCCCTTCGTGTGGAACACTGCTGAGTTTACATGTGCTCTTTTCATCTTGCTCTGTTCTACACCCATACCGGAAGTGATCAGACCTCTCTATGTGCTTCCTCAAATAATAAGGTTTTGCTACAGCTGCAAAGACAGAAGTGAAACTTTACACTTCATAAGAGCTGATGATGGCTCCACATATCCACAATGGATTTTTTTCATTTTCTAGAGCGCATATAAAGGGTACTATGAATTTTTGATCTCAACCCCACCCACCTTAGTGTGAAACCCACAAATTGGAGGAACCGTCCACATCTCTTCGACAGCATTTGAAGGCTTCCTGCGTTCATTCTATGGTGCATTTCGCCCCTTTGGTGGAGCTCCGCTAAGCTAAAGTGAACTTAGTTGACCTTGTTGAACGTCTAACCAATCCCGAACTTTATCCGATAGTAAGGATAGCGTAAATTTGTAGGAGTGCTTGCAGAAATTTGCAGTGTTTAATGTTGTGGCAATTTTTTTTTCTGGGATTCCCCAATATTTTCTATGGCACATAAAAGTCTTCAAAGTCGTGGCGTCAATTAATCCCGTGGCACATTATGACATCTAATCAATATAAATGCTATTCAGTTTTAATTAAATTAGCATCTGAAAAGAGCCTTAGTTTCGACTGAAAGAAAGAGAAAACAGATGCTACGTCAGCAGCTAAAGCCTGTGGTGTAAGACACACGTATTACAGAACTCACCCATTTTTGGCAATGTCTTTCTTTTCGAGGAAGTGAAGAAGTCGAGAGAAATGGAAAAGAGTTTGTGAAATGTACTCTAGAGCCAAAAGCACAACGGCGAACCGCATAAAGCTGAAAATGCCAAAAGAAGAACTCTATGAATGGGGCTGCATGATCAACACCCAAAAACGTAAAAAATGTCTTTGAAGTCCTTCCAACAACGAGGCTTACTTCATAATGTATGCAGCTCCAATGAAGCAGATGTGAAGAACGGAATAGAAAGTTCGCTGTCTAATCTCGTCAGCTTTCATCTTTTGGAAATAAAACTCAGGGAACTGGTGAATCCAATACGAAATCTAAACAGATTCCATTAAAGAAAGCCAAACAAAAGTTCTTTAAGAAAACATTGCGTTATCTTGAACGGCATGCCCAGCGGCATTATATTGAACCAGGACAATCAAGGGTGTTGCTTCACATAGTGAAAATCCTAGTTAGAGATCGCTATACGCTTGGGCAGTTTCGATATAAGGTCAAAAACAAAATCGAAGATACCGCAAACTCCCACCTGAAGAATGGCAAACAGCTTCATGTTGAGATTCATCCAACGATGTTCATCAGGGTATCCCAGCCAAATCCTGTAATTGATCAGGAGGTACGAAGGGATAATTTGGTATTTTTTTATTGATGAGATAAATTAAGCTAATCGGTGACATGGCAAGTATAATTATTGAATGTTCGAGACAGGCTCACAATTATGAACGTACCTTTTCACATCAGTGTAATTTTGCACAAAATCCATTATAACATATGCAGCATGGCAAGCAGAGTAGAGCGCGAATAGTGACATATGACCTGATTCTGTGAACTTAAACGTCTTCACTTTCGACAGACGAGCCTGAACGAATTATCTACAGATGGTGAAAGCAGTGAAAGCATAACCAACGCACTCATTAGCTTTTCAAAAAAGTGGGTCAAAATTAGGCTAGTAATTTGAATCCGACATTTTAATTGGTTACATTGTCGTGACGCAGTGCCAAAAAAACGAAGAAAAGCATAAGTTTTCAATTCAAGACAAAACCAAAGAATAGGAAAACGGAAAAACAACAATCATTAAGTGAGCCGAATAGAATAAACTGACCTTTCTCTGCAGTTTGTCGAGGATATATTCTTGGATGACGGCATGTACCACTACCCAGGCCACAGCATAGAATAAGATAGTGAAAATATCCGCTGGACCATTGCGGTACAAGGTTAGGCTAACTGGACCTACAAAAAGCAAATAAATGATTCCTCCGAACCAAATACAAAATATATATGCCATTATTCAACCACACAGAACCAAATTTATCTATCTAAACCTATTCCCAAGGAGTAAAATGAGTCAACGGCATCAACTCTCAAACAATTGTACGGTCGTTTTCGTTTAAATGTGTAAAACTGCTTCTATTATTTGAATTCATGACCGCGAAGAAATTCGTTATAACATTTTCGGTCCATCTGCAAGTACCCAAACCCATATAAGCCTACAACTTATATGATGTCCCTCTAAACCATTTCAACAAATATAACGAGGTAAGATGTTTCCCCTTTAGAGAAAAAATCGAAAAGGAATATCTACTTCAGAGTGCTCAATATAACATCTTCAATGACATTTACACTAGGGATAACAAAAATGATCGCCACAAACCTAGCTCGGATGTAACGTTCACAGTTTCGTTGTATTGAGGAGCAACGAATACAGAACACATGGACGCCGACAGCTGAAAATCATAGCTACAATAAGGAGGGTGAATTGCTCAAATCCACCAGATCCTATTGTTAGATATGTAAAGGAAGTATTTCTAAAGAGATTCTAGGCAGGCTTGTAAGAAATTTTCAGCTTATGTTGTATACCATTCGATATTTACTTGCACTACAAACAAGTGAGTTTTTCTTTTAGCGTGGTAAGGGATTCNTAGCAGACTCAAGCTCTATTATCTACAAGGGAGTTCAACAAATAGAAATATAAGACAGAATTCTACGGTATCGGTACTCTCATTGAAGCCAATGTGCAGAACATGATAAGAGTATTTCATTTTGACGTCTTGTCGCTACCACACCAGAGGATGAATTTTTAAATGCAAAGCAAAAGTTAAACGTACACTCAAGTGGTGTAAGAAGAGAACACTTGAGAAAAACATGAAGTGGCGTCAATATGCAAAAGCTAAGAAGAAAAAGTCTGATTTGGAAGACCCAGATTGGACAGAAGAACCTATCCTAGAAAAAACTGCCTGGAATGGTAGTTGATGGCAGAAAATTCAAAATAGTTCGTAGAAGGCGCATAGCTGACTACTCTTCAGCAATGTAGAACAGAGATTGGTTAAGTTACCGGTTCATTTTCATCGGTACGACTCTCATTAACATTCCTGGGCAAAACATACCATTAGTTATTGCACCTGCATATCTTATTAACTGTTAATTGAACCTTACATGAAACATCTTAGTTTGTGAAAAAGAGACAATCATGTGAAGAACGGTTAATGGAACGCACTAGGCTAGATTCAGTTGAAATTTTTTACAAAAAGCGTCACAAGAGAGTAATTCTCGGAATATTCATTCCCCTTGGGCTTCATGTAGGTTGGGCTACAGTTTCCACTATTTGAGGTGGGCTCTATCCTTCCCTATTCAAACGTTTTCGCTGACAATTGAACTGTTCCTACTTAAACGAGTTTTCGACGTGATTAATGTAAATAAAGTAACTTTCGCACAATATGGGTACTACGTTCAACATGCAATGACAACCTTATGTCACTAAAGTATACACAATTTCCGCACAACGATTCATGATGCCATTTAGTCTCTATGAATCTCGTTCCCGCTCATCCGAACGAATCATGGAACGAGTCATTACTCCTGTCATAGAGTTCTCTTCAAAACTATCAGTAAAATTCGGAGAAAAGCCAACCCCTTACACTTCGTGAAAGAGGCGTCAGGATGGTTCAAGCCCATAAGTGAATTTGTGTAGGGAATGCATACAATAGTAATAAACAGACTCAAGATGGATAGTAAACCGTGTGAACTTTAACGTGAAAGTGCAATTTAGAACCAAGAAAGGTGGGTTAGGGATCCATATCCCTTAAAAAGACTTCGGAGTTAGGTTGACAGACTGACATGCCGGAAATTACCACAATACCTCAATGCTAAATCAATTTCAAAGCCCCGAAGATTGAGGGTAGCGCTCAAAAGTATACGAAGGACAGTAGTATGGTATGGAATCTTTTTATATGACCGATGAAGATAAAGATTATAATAACAACAAAAATCAAAATAATGAGAATATTATTCAAACTTGGAACCAAGTGTGACTTAACAATATGGATTTTTCAAAAACAGAGTTCTCAATGGGAAATGTTATTTGGAGAAAAATAAGCGCAACTTACCGGGAACATGAGACCAACGATGAATACCATCAGCACACAGCTCATGATATCCCCATGATTCTGAATTACGAATTCGTGGCTAAAAATTGGTGGAGTCGTTTTTTTGTGTCGCCCACCAGCTGCCGTGCGTCGAGTTTCGACACCCATCCTGAAAGGTACGAAAAAAATCGAGTAAAAAATGATGATAAACTGAATGAACGGGACACGTTGCAACGTCCGCAAAAAGCACACAATGGAAAAAGTTCCCAGGCAGAAAAGTTGGGAAAAAACTTGATAAATATAGAAGATGATTCTCGGAATTGTGGTGCTACTTTCTTCTCCACGATAATGCCTGACATTAACGAATAGAAATTAAGGACAAGGGAAGGACCATCATCACTCTCGTTCAATAATTCCGATAATTCCAGTTCACCACGGTCTGTTTGTGTCAGCAAAAAGAACAGAAAGCAATAAAAACAGGAAAACCACAAATAATCCATTAGGCGATGGGATTTGTTTTTTTTTCCTTTCTTTTTTTTCAAGGACTCAATGTTTCAAAACAAAAACGTTGGATTTCTTGGAAAAATTTGCAAGAAACTCGAGAAAGAACTCCACGTGGCTGGAAAACAAGAAATCATAGCTGAAGCAAGGGGACATGTGGGAGGAGAAGCTCCACACGGAACGACACGCCACTCTTCCCTTATCTGGCTAACATGCAACCTCGACAAAACGGTACCGAAACTCTCAGAAGCACAGCGCGGAACGAGACAGCCGCCACGCCTTGCTGGTCCCAGCGCGAGATAGCAGTGTGCAGTTTGGCTACGGTGGCTCGGCGGCAATGCGCAGCGACCACCCACGACACGCGACAAAGGAAAGAGAGGGGAACGGTCTTGGTTCTGTGGATGGGATCTAGATGTGGGGACCATTTCACCCTTTACGTTGTACCCCTTCACTTGTCTCTGTCAAAAGAGGTGTGAAGTGAGAAGGAAATGAAAAGTGACGGAGAATTCAGGTTTGGAGAGTATGGGGTGATCGTAATGGGATGGGAGAGAAAATGATGATGGGCGTTGAAAATTGAAAGTGTAGAAATCGATTCTTCTTGGTGGCATTAGGCATTCAAAACTCTTCTTGTGGTTGGAAGCACGATTAGGGATGAGGCCCGCAACGGCCGGGTGGATGGGGAGATTAATTAATTTCTCGTGTTTACCCCTGGTGTTGATGTTTATTACCATGACGTACGTCGGTTTATTGCTATGTTCACATTAAGTACAGAGGCCCCCTGCTCGTAGGCTCCCTTTTCCTAACTGTGGCCAGTTTATTAATTTTGATTAGGGATTTCATGGCCAGCACAAGTAGCTAACAGAGATATGACGGAGTGTTCGGCGAAGAGCAACCTTGGAGGTGTGCGCCTTGCACTCGTCTTTCAATCACAATTTCCGAATCACTTGACCACGCCTCGATCGTTTGGTTCACGTTGCTTTCAAGTTATGGTGCATTATCTTCACCCGAAAGCCTGATACTCTGAGCAGGATGCAAAAAGGCTTCCAGGTCCTGGGTAATAGCTAGTATTTATCTTTTCGTCATCTTTTATGTGACAGCAATCGTATTTTCGCACAATTGACCGCCCGCAACAACTTTATAGCTAAATCTTGCCCTGAGATCTTCAAGGACTAGGCTATCAATCGTGTGGAGGGTAAGGAAGTCAAAAGCAGCGGGGACCACAAAACGAGGTTGTCTACCACAATTGCAAGATGCTCTCTGAAACACCGTAACGAGAAGAGCGCAGGGTCACATGTCTAGCAGGCTAGCAAACTTCAGGGTAATGAGACTAATGGCTTTAGGGAACAGGGGAGGTCAGTCGATCGTAAAAGAGCAGCTGAAGCAAGGCATGGTTGGAAGCTCAAGCGATGAGCTCGGGTTTCATAATTTGTAATAATGTTTTCAAGCAGCTTACTAAGTACTCTCCCAAAATAAGATTTCTTTGACCGCTTTTGGATAACTCCCATAGGGAAGGTTTCCTGGACAGCTCAAATTGAGGGGAACTCATTCGCCTTTCATAAAGGCTGCGGCCTTTCTTATGTAGCCATGGAAACAAACCTATATCATACCTTCAACGATCGGGGAAAGATGAATGCATTTATTAGGTTGGCAAATAAGTCCTGCGACAAAATGGAGACCTTTTTTAAATCATTTCTAAATTTTTTCATATCAATCAATTTTCGGGAAAATATTTACCGAAGAAGTCAATAAACTTCTTTTATCCTTTGAGCTAATCACTGATGCTATCTCTTCAGGAGTGAGGGAGCTGTGACTCGAAGAAGTAATTGACTGCCGTTTTTGGATCACATTAAGTTGCGAATTTGTTTTCCACAACGGGATGCTCATAAAGGCGGAGCACATGGAAGTTAAAAGAGGGAACACTACAGGACTACGACTGATGAGTAACCTGGAACCAAGCAGGATCGGTGAACTTTTTACGTGGGTCTAGAGCGAATTTTCGACATGCGTTGTCCCTCTGTAGGGAACCTGATTTACGGTTTGATCGCCCTTCTCTAACCCCGCTGGCCAAATTAAGGGGATCATAGGGGCAAGTGATAGCTGTCTCCATCTAGCCTGCGTGTAGCAACTCATAGTGGATGAATCCCTTCAACCTCCATTAAATTAAGGGACGATGCTTGCGTCACTCCGAAGGCTAGTATCTCCTGCAGCAAAGCGATCCAACCGATTGCTGGCTGTCGATCGGTATGCAGTGCTAGCATCGAATAGATTGCTAATATTTCGAGCCGCTACACCCGCGTTTTTTCCTTGTCGTGCTTAGTAGAAGGTGATGGTACGAATCGGGTGTTGTCCATTCATTGGCCGCAATGCTGCGAAATCCCACACGCGTGCCTTTATTTACCTATGTGGTGATTGCCCGGGGAACGTCCTTCAAGTTTATCACCCTTGCTACCGTGTTCACACTGTTGATACAAATTTTCAAGGCTTCAGATTTTTTGTCGCAGGACTTATTTGCCAACCTAATAATTTGGGAGGGTAGTTGAAGATGTAGCTCACGATAATTTCGAAATACTCTTTGGGTGTCGAAAAGCGATTGCTTTTGTTGAGAATAGTTTTTCGGTGGCGAAAAAAGCGAGAAAACGACGGACTTTGCTAGAAAGAAGTTGTCTGAGAAGGTGAAAATGCAGGGGTTGTGCAGGACTACCGTCACCTAAACAGCGTAAAGGAGGTATTGGACAATATTTCAGATGTTGCATTCGCGTAAAAACCGACTACATTTAGCCAGAAATGACCAAAACTGCTTTCCCCTGTCGAGTCACGACTAGTTGTTTGAGCTTTAGATATGAGTTCCTATGTGGATGATACACCCTTCGGTGTGACAAGCAACCGATACATTCTTTGCCCTTACTGCCCTACCTAGGCCATTTTCCGACCTGACAGGGCCACAAGCTGTTTCTATAGTGAACTAAATATTGAAGTTTGAACGCCTCGGCAGCAATTTCGGGAAGAGATTTGCCTGTGATGTTAGCCCTGCGTGACATGAACACTATCTAGCTCCACGAACTTTCAATTTGCCTGGGGACATGGCCAAATGATTGGAAATAATGAATGGGTGCCAAATAGTAATTTGTTATGAAATATATGATAAAATGACGTGAACTGTTAGCTATAAAAATCAAGAGGACGGGTAAACACAAAAAAATTAATCGATCCCACGCCCGCTGTATGGGGACCAATGGCATCCCCAGTATGTGCCACCCTACTGGAAAAGTTTTGTAGACACAATCTCACTAATGAAATTGATGGGAAGGTTTTTCGACGCATGCCTGCCCAATACCTTGTCTAACGATGCCATCCCAACCAGATTAACGTTCTTATCCTGCTATCAAAGGACTACGAAGCAATTCTCTCCCGTGAGTCTGAAATGAGTTTGAGTAGATCCTTAGGCACCTGGTAGGAACTATTGGACCACTCCAACAACCCTGCAGGAAGGAAAACACCATCATACAATCTTGTTGACTATCTAGAATCTCTAACTTCTGTTATAGTTATCGGTCTACTGCTTGCTTAGGATCTGAGCAAAGGCTGATTCTCGAAAAAACCTTTGTGAAGTTGCTCATTGTCCAAATCGTAAACCGAACCAATGTTGTTCGGAAGTTTTGAAAAGCTGAGCACAAATAACCTTCGGTGTTGCTGTACCATTCATAGACATTGCAGTAAAATCGTCGGATCACAAACCTACCTTAAACGGGTAACACTGAATAAGTACCTACAAATTACTTTTCCTTCAAATTTGCCTTGGAAATTTGAATAGTAGAAATACCTACCTGTCCTCAAGAAGGAGAAACCCTCGTTTTTGAGCTCCAATATCGGAAAATAGGGCTGCTGATGATAACATTTTGCCAGATATTTTTTGCTGTCCACTCTGAAGCTTTTAGCACAAGCAAGATAACAGCATTCCGATACTCTTTATCAGCTTACTAATAAAAAAAGGAAATACAATGTCAATATAATCAATAAGGGGCTGTGAACCCATAACGGAACTGGGAGGTATGTTCCACAGCATAGAACATTAACATTTTGCAGTCCTGGAATTGAGTTCCCGCACTTTTACCCTGAACTTTCGTTCACAGAAAGATGTTAGCGGTTCTAGTAAATTCAATGTGAAAGTGATCGACGTCATTACCGGTTGCTCGTAGAAGTTCGTAGAGAAATTCGATACGAGACAGAGATCGCACCAGGCACGGAGGCGGGCCAACCTGAGGTCTATTCGCCTCCGGTTGCCCCGCCCATTCTGAAGCACGACTTCTGCCATTGAACAGTGAACATGGAATAATCCTAAGGAGCATCAGTATTCCTAGTTCATACATATCTACATCGAGAAAAATATGTGTATATGTACAGCAGCCTAGAGATCATGTCATTCCTGAGCAAGCACCTTTTCTTCACCCGTTTTTCCATCCGTTACAGTAATGTGGTGCGATGTCAGTGACGGCGGTGGTATAGAGAAGTCCTGAAAGTAAGGCACATTGTTCTGCCATAAAAGGTATTCAGATCTCATAGACTGGTAGATCTCATGAGTCATTCGCATCAAGCCTACCACTGCATGGCTTTCTCTCCACCATTCAAATAAGCAGGCAATGAAGAAAATAGTGAAAATAATGACTAGCAGTATGACAGGAAGAATGTGTTCGACTCGAGGCGATGCTGAAGGTGAGATCTCGTCCCACATACTAATCTGAAATTCGATTTCTCGGAAAAATGGTTCTTGGCACTCTTTTGAATCTTGCAAAGAGTTATTCATCTAGCAGAAGAATCAAAAAGCATTGGACATTGAAATGTTAGAAACTACTGTGAAGGATTGTGAACGCGATAGCTTCGCCACTGAAGTATAGAAGCCTTGGAGACTCAGCAAGGAGAGGAGGAACGAGGGCAAGGGGGATAGTTAGGTGGTGACTACCGTCATAGCACGGTCGTTCCTGTAGACCACTGGTAGCGTTAAACAGATCGAAGAGTTAGGAAAAAAATACTGAGCTTACTGAAATGGAGGGTGTGGACAATGTTCATCTAGTATTTGTTAATCGAGATAAGCATTTCAGAAAGTATCGGCAGATGGTATTGACATGGGAGGTAGGTGATTCCACGAATCGTGCAAGTAACATCTTTCGCCGCTACTCCGCCCACGTCCAACGATAACAAGTTACTGGATAAAAACGAAAGATTAGTTCCTGCTTCATTACGCACTGCTTTTCCTTTAATTCTGCCGGATGTGATAGTATGAAGGTATGTTAGTATGAAATTATGGGATTACTGTAAATTTCTTTCCAATGTCTATCGTTCCATCAGAGTAGAATAAAAAAGAGGAGGAACTGATCGCGATCTGGGCATCAAAAATTCGGAGGTTGGGGGAGGGATGGGGTAGGAGGAGTAGAGGAGAAAAGCTATAACGGTCACGAAATAGCTTCTATCGAGGGGAGAGGGAGTAGACGTGATCTCATTATCAGCAAACTTCGCAAAAACATGCATAGTGGTTCGTTACGTCTCAACTTGTAAGAAGCATTGTCAGCATCATCTCCAAGGTGCAATGGTTAAATGAGGTCAAAGACAAAGTCAGCGGATCGTGAAAACATTTATGGAACTTTTGCGAATGCTGCCAGCAGCTGAAGAGTTCGAGGTAATGACCAAGAATTGGTTCTAGTGAGATAAAAAAAACATCATGATATCATGCTATGAACTTCTACGCAAGCAGGATGAGCATGCGATCAGCGTCACTCGAAAGTAAAATGCTCTAAACTCGCACACAAGCAAGTGCGGAGCGCAATCCTGGTACTAAGACCCTTCACAATGGGATGCCGTTGCTTACACAACCAATCGAATATCGAGTGGACCAGACAAGTCATGAGATTTTGAGATGACCACTGAACCGGGGTGGTTTCTGACCGGTACCCTTGAGACGTCAAACCGGATTGGCTCGGATTTCTTGAGCGTGGAGGATCCTTTGAACTCTTTTGGCTCAGATGGCAGGTGACACAGGCATGACTGACTGAGGGGTTGATAGAGAAATGGTTAATATCGCAGCTCCGTTGCGATCGGAGCTGCGATATTAACCATAGAGAGGACCACCAGTAGAGAATAAAACGAAGGACTGGAACCAAAACTTGAGCGTTAGTGAAAAATGATCTTAATGCTCAGAACAGCTATGTGGATTCGAAAATTACCCACCAATGCCAATGGGGAAAGTGGAAATCCTAAACAGAGGTAATTCCTAAGATCAAAAAGACAGGAGTCCTGAGCAATGGGATTTATTCTGCAGTACTTCGAGAACCATTCCCTTAAAGACTGCTAAAAGCCTAACATAAGTGGGGTTAGGATCTTGTACCCGAGTAATGGTGCTTGTGCGCCTCTCCTCGTGTCGAAGTGCCAAATGTAACGGTAGGATTTGATTTTACATAAGTCAAATGGTTTCTGTAACTGCCGTCGCGTGCTTACATGGGAATCGTGGGAATTCTAATCGTGTCCTAATTACTATAAGCAATAGTTTTAATAAAATGGGAACTAAGAGAGTGTTTTCATACTACACAACTGAAGCGATAATTTCCGGAAGCACCTGGAGTGACGGGGATGCCTGCGAACCTACACCATGTGGTACATTGAATGATAGTTGGACTGGGCTACAGCTCTTAGCGGTCTATAAGTCCGGATAAAAAACAGAGGCGCATGGAAATGGTGTTATATCAGGGACGATGGTGTAATACCACAGAGCCAAGATCAGGATGGCAGTGACACAAAGCTTCTTATTAATTTATTTCTTTGATATTTACTTGTTTATTTACCGCACCCACGGGAAGGCTGAAAACACACTTGAGCAATGAGTAAGTAAATAGATATTCTAGGCCAACAAACAAAATCATATTAGGAAAAACACCGGCATTCAACTACGGTGTGAAGGCCAATGATAGCTGGGAACATAAGAACGGCCACTATTAAAGTTGCCTGGATTTATTCAAAAGTAGGAGAACAAACCTGAATGGGGACAAGCCATGCTTGCGTGATCAGTCTTCAAGAAGGTTATATGATGGCATGATTGCCATTAATGTTCATTAGAAGTCGAAAAATGTCAATGTTGATGAAGAAAACCCTCAGTGAAGGACCGGATGAGTGTGGTATCAGAAAAATACCGTCGTCTATATTGACGTACGTGAGATGTCTGTGGTGGTTCTCTAGTTCCGTAAAGCGCCGCTCAAAGAAACAAACGACTCAATAATGTTTTCTTAGCACCAGATGTAAAACCGCTCTTGACGGTTTCGCATTCCTCAAATCTCAAACAACGGCAAACTGGTCTTCATTTTTTTGTTCTATAAAACTCTGAAGAGACGTCACAGGCGATGATAAAAGCAACACATTATGCAATATAATGGGAAGTACTGGATGTGAGTTATAGCGCTTTTAAAGGATTTGAACGATTGAACGCCCTCATAGCTGCGTGCACATTCGCTTGGGGCAGTGATGGCACAAAGAAAACGTCTGTGGAGGAAATTACCCCATCAAATTTGCATAGAACCAATTAAAAGTGTCTGGCGCTAATTAATCACTTTTTTAGATGCTCCCCCGCACTCTACTTCCATTTAGAATCATATTGGCATTCCGAGGGCGTGGGTAGTCTATATAATGAAATGCAGTGGCGAGCTGATGTACGAGCCAGTGGTTTTATCCTCCCAGACGAGTCTGGCACCGAATAACCGACCATCCAAGGTTTATATGACCCAGGCCAGTATCGACCCGGGCTTCGATCCCTGGACTGGTGTGGTGATAATGAACCCTTCATCACTACACCACCTTCACCCTGGAAAGAATTATTTATCATCATCAAAACAATCATCACACAGGCAGCTGAGCAAGTTCTTTTAGTTCAGTGAGCGGGAATTGATGCCTGTTAGACCATCTAACTGAAAGTTCTCAGAGAGAATCAGGCTCGACGTCTAATTCAAGTGAACGTGCAATCGATCACTCCATTAATGGCTGATAGAGCCAAGACAACTGTTACTCCTTAGTAGGCACCAGGTAATCGAAGAGTGAATTCCCGGAATAAAGGGTTCATCTGAATGGAAACTCATTTTTCGATCCGTGAAGAGGTTAGTTCCAGCCTTGAAGTGACTTTGCAAGGTGGCTAGGCAATCTGGTATCACACAGGCACGATCCCTGGACCTCCCTGGATTGAATCCCGCTCGATGCTCGCCCAATCAAATCAATCCATACATTCTTCCAGCTACATAATTGGCACTAGATACATGTAGGAGGCTCATAGGGCTTGTTTTGGCTTGATGTTTTATTGACTGCTGTTATTTTGCCGCAGTTCGCGTTCCGAAAGTCTCACAAAGTTGGCGTTTTATGGTAGAACTTCAGCCTCGGACGGGCCTCGAACCTGTACTTGTGCTTTCCGGGCACCAGACGACTGACTTGCACATCAACTGGCATCACAAGTCATTACGTAGACCGCACGCATTCGAAGACTACAGCGATTCTGAATGGAAGTCGGATGCGGAGCGTAACTAAGAAACGGAATTGACCAATGCCAAGGACTTCATCCGCTGCATCATCTCCTATGACGTCAGTGATACGTCAACGATGAAAGAACGTCATTAGCTATGAAACGGGACAGAAAAATGGTAGCGATAGTTTTAGGTGCTATTTTTCAAAATTACTGAGAAGAAAACTAGTATATTTCCGTCTCAGAAAAGATGACGACATTCAAATACAACGAGGGGCATTGACCAAAATTTCCAAGCAAATTAGTTGAGGTAAATTCGCTAATAGAAATGAATGGGTACGACAAAGTGAGGGTGTATAAGCATGTGCAAGAAATGAACCACTATTCACTGCGGCGAAGCCCATTTCAGGTTCTCTTCAAAAACTGCTCTTTCACGCGAGTTAAACCAATTTTCATGACTCGAACAAAAGCACAAATTTCTCCAGTCAAACTCTTTCTTACCAAGAGGAGAAGTTGTCCCGTCTCTAAAGACATAGTCCACGATAAGAATGGTTTCTGATTCTTCGCTAGAATGAATCTGCGATCCCAAGAATAGTAACTGGGTCGTTCTCGGCCCGAAAAACGGTCTTGGTAGGGCGTAATGAGGGCTCAGAACTCGAAAACTATTCAAATTAGTAACATATAACAAGGCTTTCATGCGGTAGCGCTATGAAAACCAGAACTTGACATTTATGGACTCCTTTTTTAGGATAAAAATAAATCAAGAAATGAGCTAGGGGTTAACGGGATTCGTGATTAACGAGAATGCTCCCAAAGGAAAAAGCTGCTCTGAGAAATTGATGTCTATTCTTCTAAGTGGCAATCAATTAAGGAAAAAAGAATGAGCTTATTTTAGCTTCTTCCAGTGCTTCCTCTACTAATTGATTCAGTTGGAGAATGACAGACGGCTGATTACGACAGGGGAATGAGATTGAATAACACACAGTGCGTGTATAAACCCATGAATGTACTCATCGTTCTGACGTCTACTGGTTACAGAAATACTTTATTGCTCCACCCACCTCTCTTTTCTCTCCAACCTAGGCCATTATTCGCTGTAATGTGTCCGTTGTTTTATGTATTATAGGGTTATTATTAGAGTATCTACTGGAACTGCCCCATTTACCGCCTGAACAGTATCGCTGGTGGCCTTTATTACCCAGAATGTAGGCTCACACCATTGTCCACGGGACAGTATTCCCAAT